CAGGCTAGGTATCAACAGCCAATCCAGTAGGGGTTGGAAACTATAGTGAGTTCAGTAAGACCGAACAGATGGTAATCGCCCCAGAGGGCTAAATGTAACAGGAGTCCGTTGTAACAGATAGGTCTACATTATTCAGTGTTTATACATCCTTGGCTGAGTGCCAGTGGAAAGAAGTAATTAGCCTCTCTGTTTCCAGGTAGACCAACACAATACTTTTATTCATAATAGAATCTTTAGCCTATTAGGACTGGACATGATTTCCTATACAACGGTTGGGTCCCATTATGTCTGGCGAAAACCCAACACTGCATTCCACAGTAAGAACATCATACCAACGGTCAAGCATGGTGGTAGTGTGATGGTTTGGGGATGCTTTGCTGCCTCAAGACCTGGATGACTTGCCTTAATAGAAGGAACCATGAATTCTGCTCTGTATCAGAGAATACTACAGGAGAATGTCAGGCCATCCATCTGTGAGCTGAAGCTGAAGCGCAGCTAGGTCATACAGCAAGACAAAGATCCAAACCACACAATCAAGTCTACATGAAAATTGTTAAAAAGCTATAATTGTTACGTTTTGGAATGGCCTAGTCAAAGTCCAGACCTAATTCCAATTGAGATGTTGTGGCAGGACTTGAAACAAGCAGTTCATGCTTGAAAACCCACACATTCAAATTCCTCCACAGTGATGTGAGAGACTGATCAAACACTACAGGAAGAATTTGGTTGCAGTCATTGCTGCTAAAGGTGGCAATACCAATTATTGAGTGTAAGGGGGCAATTACTTTTATGTGTTGCGTAACTTTGTTAATTAAATAAATAAAATAAGTATCAATTTTTTTGTTATTTGTAAACTCAGGTTCCCTTTATCTATTATTAGGTTTTGGTTGAATTTTTGATAATGTTCAGTATCAAAAATATGCAAAAATAGAGAAAATCAGAAGGGGGGAAAATACTTTTTTACGGCACTGTATATATACACTGAGTGTATAAAACGGTAAGAACAACTTCCTAATACTGAGTTGCAAACGCCCCCTTTTCCCTAAAGCAGGCTCAATTCGTTGGGGCAAGGACTCTACAAGGTATTGAAAGCGTTCTACAGGGATGCTGACCCATGTTGACTCCAATGCTTCCCACAGTTGTGTCAAATTGGCTGGATGTCCTTTGGGTGGTGGACCATTCTTGAAACACAGTGAGTGTGAAAAACCAAGGGGTTTGGTGGTGATTTTCTAAACTGTTAGTTAGACCAACAGTTTAAAGTAATATAGAAAAATATTGTTATTTAAATTGTGATTGGAGTATATTGGCCAAATTATCAGGAAAGTTGTTGATGTATTTTCCCTCCAAAATTAAACAGAAACAATCATTTCAGAGCTATTTGTTAAAAAATGCCTTACACAGTATATATAAGTTGCATAGTATAGTATATGTTGCTGCTGTTCCCTTCTTCCCTTTTTCCTTTTCTTCAAATCTGGTCTCAGCCGTTCTTCACCCTCTCACCACCTACTCACCACCGCTCAAGTCTGTTTCCATGGTCATGAGACCCAGCCTCCTTCCACCATTGTCACGGTGATAACAGACAAGAATGGCCTTGAGACCAAAGATGGTGGATAAATGAAGATAGTTCACTCAGGCCATTTACCATTGTCTGCTTAAGGGGGGGATCTCTCCATAGACACCAATGCGATAGTGGTCTGCTTAGTCATTGACTTCCATTGAAACAGAACCAATGAGAGAGTGGAACATCTTGCTTCCTCTTCCGTCTCTGCTTGAGACTCCAGAATGCTGAGTCACAATGACAAGGCAGAAATACAGCCAGGGCAGAGCCTGAGTCAGTCCACACTGTAGTAGAACAAACAGGAGGTTATGACAGGAAAAATAGTGGGATGGAGGGAGAGAAATAGGAATAGAGGGGGAGGGGGAAAGAATATTCACCCCCCTTGGCATTTTTCCTATTTTGTTGCCTTACAACCTGAAATTAAAATAGATTTTTTGGTGGTTTGTATCATTTGATTTACAGAACATGCCTAACACTTTGGATCTCATTTAGGAGCTTCATAGCAAAAGGGGTGAATACATATGCACGCACCACTTTTTCGTTATTTATTGAAGAGTCGGCTGTGTCACTTCCTCTTCTGTCTCTGCTTGAGACTCCAGAATGCTGAGTCACAATGACAAGGAAGAAATACAGCCAGGGCAGAGCCTGAGTCAGTCCACAATGTAGTAGAACAAACAGGAGGTTATGACAGGAATAAGCAGGGGTGCAACTTTTTGGAGTGTTTATCTGGAGAAAAAAAGAAAGACTATATATATATATATATATATATATATATCCCTCCCACTTCTAAATCCAAAGTTGCACCCCTGGGAATAATTGTGGGAGGGAGGGTGCAATAGGAAGAGACGGGGAGGGCGAAAGAGTACAGACTAAAAACACTGTGTCACCCTTCAGAACTTCAATAGAAAGAGTTCTGTAATGGTTAACCATTTACAGTATTACTTACTGTTTATAACTTTGTGCGGCTGGTCACATGATGGACCCGGTCGTGACCTTAACAACTTAACACAGGTTCCCGGGGTTGAACATTACAGAAATGATTTGCATAAAAAAATTAAGAAAATTCGTTGTAAGATGCAATTTTAATGCTATGTTTGCTCTTCTGCTTAAAGAAGGTCACTTAGAACAACCTGGACTCAGGGGTAGACGTAACATAGTAAAAGTAAATCCGGGATACTTCAATTAGTTTGTGGATGTCCATCATCCATTTCATATGATATGTTATGAATTGCAATTTGTACAATATGTTACGAATTACAATTTCTACAATATGTTAGGAATTTGCTAAACATATGATATGTTACAAATTACAATTTGTTGTGGCTAACGTTAGCTCGGTGGCTAGGTGCTAACGTTAGCTAGGCTAGGGGTTAAGGGTTAAGGTTAGCGTTAAGGTTAGGTCTAAGGTTAAGGTTAGGAGTTAGGTTAAAGGGTTACGATTAGGGTTAGGGGAAGGGTTAACTAACATGCTAAGTAGTTGCAAAGTAGCTAAAAAGTAGTAAATAGTTGCAAAGTTGCTAATTAGCAAAAATGCTAAAGTTGTCCGTGATGAGTTTCAAACAAGCAACCTTTGGGATGCTAGACGTTTACGTTATACGCTCACCCAAACGTATCCTTTAAGCATGACACATCATTTGGTCAAAAAGTGACATCACTTTTTGCAGAAAAAAGGAATGCCAAGTATGTCACAGCCCTTTTGTAACACCGGTCTCCAAAACGTTGTTTGCGCTCATAATTAAAACATTACGCTATAAAGTGAGGTTCAGTCTAGAACAGTTGATCAAAGTAACAGAGAGCACACACTTCAAGGGCTATCTATGTTGAAAGACCCTTACCCCCATTTGAAGCAGCTTTATAATTTTTCAACAAACAATGAACCTAGATAGAAGCTATGACAAACTGATAGATAGATTCTGTTTTGGGTTACATATTAGGAAAAAGGGGGTTCTGTTCTCAAACAATTGGAGTAGAGGTGCTTCCTTCCATACTAGGCCAGGACGGACTAGGGACCGTGTAAATCAGTGGAGGCTGGGGGGAGGAGCCATAGGAGGACGTGCTAATTGAATTGGCTGGAATGGAATCAATGGAACGGTATCAAACCCATCAAACATATGGAAACCACTTGTTTGACTCCATTCCATTTACTCCATTTCAACCATTACAATGAGTCCGTCCTCCCACCAGCCTCCACTGGTATAAATGTATCAAGCCTGTTGTCAGAATAGGAGTGATGATCTAGGATCAGGTCTTCCCTGTCCATGTAATGTTATTCAGTGTGATCTAAAAGGCTGAACTGATCCTAAATCAGCACTCTTACACTGAGACTCTTGATGCATACTGCCCCAGAAGACCTAGTTCTTATGAATCCCAATGATGTTACAACTACATGGCTGTATTGAGCAATAACCCAGCACCGTGAAAGCACCCTGTCAGCAGTTGTGGAAGATCAGGTCATGTGAACTGAAGTTGTTAGGAAGGTTACTTTATTACTGTAGTCTTTGATTTTCATAAGCTGTAAACGTTTTTCACTTCACAGTTTTAGCTTAATAACCTGTGTATGGTTAGATATAGCTACTGATTTTGTGTAGTTATTTCTAGGCTAATGTGAGCAACTTTGATAGTCCTTTTGTCAACTACAATATGTCATTTGAAACCGAAAGGTGTATCATCAAATACAATTTCTACAAAAGTCAAAGTTTCTGTCTCTGTCCACATACTATATTCCCATACCTCATACTGCAAATTGAATTGATATAAAAAAAGTGTGATAAACCGTACAGTTTTTATTTTAACTGCATTCTGGAAAAAGAAAATAATTAAGCTACATATGCTATTGAAACATGTGCTCTTAGACAATGAAACAGAAGTTTACAGAACTGCGTCACAATGTTCAATTCCTTTTGTAGCCTAAATAAAAATATAGACCTAGGATATTTCTCAATTAGCCTATTATTAGAATGAATGTTCAAATTAATCTCAGGATATAATACACACACATTTTGCAAAAATAGCCGCTGTAGTTAGACCTGCACTGTAACACTGCTTTTGGTTGATACTACTGTTTTAGATGTTACCAATAAAATGTTACCTTGTAATAAATATTGATTTCTTCAGGATGATGAAGAGATCGAAGCGAGAGGATTTACTCTGCCCAAAATCAGTGAGATAACCCATTTTTGTGTGGAGGTATGTAAGAGAGTGTCGAATTACCTGAGTATTTTGATCGAATATAAGTTGTGTCGTGTTTAAGCTTTTACAAATGTACTGATATATGTGGATGAACGTGGCATTCCGGCAACTTTGAGAAAAACGATGTTTAGTTGTGCGTGTTGTTCACACGCGTACGTGCCCTCTCATTTGCTAGAATGGTCCCAACTGCTCTCGCCTGTATGCGATCATTGAGGACATGTATTGCCATTGTTAGAGCGGTCACTCGGCTATCTTGTCAATATAATACATCATCTGTGCTTTAGGTCATGCGTATGAGTGAGATCGTCATCAAATGATCCTCCTCTTTTCTGTTGAAATTCTAAACGTGATTGGCTGCGCTCTGTGAGGGTCGATTTCACTGACGCATTCCGTTTGGAACAATAAATAGAGAGAACAAGGCTTCTTCACCTCCACATCTCTGGGAAGACGCATGAAGAAGTTCTTGCTTTAACAGTGATTGAACGGAACTCTTCTGCCGGATTGAAAACGTAACACTTGCTTGAACTCTAATAGCAACATAGTCTAAGAAACTCTATTTTTGTACCGTTCATTTTGATATAAAAGAGGAAAATCTGCCAAAATGGAGTCTCAGGTCCGTCAGAACTATCACCGCGACAGCGAAGCTGCCATCAACCGGATGATCAACATGGAGATGTTTGCCTCTTACACCTACACTTCAATGGTAAGGAGACTATTGTAGGCTACTAAGAGGACAATTTTGTTGATCTACCTGTGTATTATTATGCCTGGGCCTAAATGCCATTATTTTCTCTTGACTTTTCTGTAGGCCTAGGCAATTAATAGCCAAGAAACTCAATTCCGTGAAGTACATATTTGAGTTTTACTTGGCTAGGCTATTAAGAGCCTTCCGGTAGATATAGATTTTAAATGAAGCTGGGACTCTATCCTACATAAGACAAAGCGCGTAACATCTCATTGACAGGTTAATTGGCAGGTTATAAAGTAGACTAAGTACTAGACTGATGCATGCCTTTGTCATCAAGCTTAGTTGCCACAACATGAACAGAATGCTGAGTCATGTTTGACATGTCTTTCTAACCACACTGTTTTGTCTATCCACCCAGGCTTTCTATTTCTCCCGTGACGATGTGGCTCTGCCTGGCTTCGCTCATTTCTTCAAGGAGAACAGCGACGAGGAACGCGAGCACGCCGAAAAGCTGCTTTCCTTCCAGAACAAAAGAGGTGGACGCATTTTCCTCCAGGACATCAAGGTGGGGCCACTGAGCGTCGAAAAACACTCATTTACATAGACGAGGGTTCTCAGTTGAAAAGGTTCTACATGGACCCAAATGGTTAATCTATAGGGACAAGCCGAATAACCCTTTATGGTTCTAGATGGAACCTGTTGTTCTAAACTGTAGACTTCAAGTATGGGAGTTGTTTTGAATGAGTAGTCTTTAATGCTGAGGTAGTTCTTTGAAAGGCACGCCCTATGTGACTGCCCTGGTATTAGAGCAAGGTGGCCAAAGGAGATGTCCTGACTGCGTAGGCCTATGAGTACAGGGATTTTTCTGCCATTGAAATCATTGGGTGGGCTGCCTAATCACTTTTTCTAAGGAAGTCCAAACAATAGGGGGGAAAATATGGATTGTATTTTAAGATATATATTTCTAGAATGGAAAAACGCATTTAGTATACACTAAAATCAGATATACATTTTCTCTCTGCTACATGGCAAAATGTGTAGAATTGCAGGACATTGGCTTTAAAACTGCAAAGATTTCTCTCTACTCCATGGAGGAAATTGGCTTAAGTGTCTCTACCGCGCCAAGTTGATCTAGAGAACCAGGAGTAGTCCTAAACACACTGCGTCTATAACCACTGAACTGAAAAAGCGTGAGAGGTGTAACTCGATTCAATCTATCCAAACGTTAAAATATGCAATTTAGCAGACGCTTTCTTCCAAATCAACTTAGCCATGCATGCATACATTTGACATATAGGTTGCCCCAGCAGGAAGTGAACCAGTTACCTTTGGCGTTGAAAGTGCCATGCTCTACCGACTGAGCCACACCGGATTTGTGGTTTTTCGTATTGACGGTGTTAAATTGACCCCATCTTGACTTTTTGCTGAATTGTTTCCAGTTCCTTTTAGCCCTATGTGCCAGATATACTGGCTAACTGTTGACTGTTAGTAGGTATACATAGGAATGTCTGCTAGTAGTCCCTAACCCTCCTGTGTTCCCTCTGTCCTGTGTAGAAGCCAGATCGTGATGAGTGGGGCAATGGCCTGGAGGCCATGCAGTGTGCTCTGCAGCTGGAGAAGAATGTAAACCAGGCCCTGCTGGACCTGCACAAGATTGCCTCCGACAAGGTCGACCCCCATGTAAGTAATGTCCCCCTCTTTATGGGGGAACTACACGTCACATGTATACATCACATAGAATAAAGCTACTGTACTGTCCCAGGAGCTGATCAGGTTGTTGTAGCTCTGCTAACTAATGACACAGGCTTGTGTGACCTGCCTCTTCACCCAAACACAATAGCCCACAGACGTACAAGAATGCACACTATACAAAAAATGCAGCAAATACATAAGTTGGACAGCCGCAAACACCTCATTGAGTTAGTTATCTGCCCTTATGTCATTACCACCAGGCTCCTGTGTGTTACTGCATCTACAGTAGTGGCTGTAGTTATTCTCTTGTCTGACCTGTGTTTTCCTCCTTTAGCTGTGTGACTTCCTGGAGTCCCACTACCTGAATGAGCAGGTGGAGGCCATTAAGAAGCTGGGCGACCACGTCTCCAACCTCACTAAGATGGATGCTGTCAACAACAAGATGGCCGAGTACCTGTTTGACAAGCACACCCTGGAAGGCCAGAGCTAAACCACGTCCAGGCTACAGCCTCCAGCCTCATACAAGGACTCCTGAATGTTCTGCTCTATTCTGCTGCCTTTGCATCTATAAGGAGGAGAAGGTGTTGAACTGGTACAGCGCAATGCACAACAGCTATAATGTTGACAAGTTTGTTAAAAGATCACAAGTTGTTGCTGATGTTTTCTAAATGTTGCCAGCTGTAGTAATGGATGTTAGTCTATTCAGGTGCTTTGTCTTTGTGCTGTCTTACTGAGCATTTCAATACCTAAAACGAGGGTTTTCTTCACTAGGTGTAACTGGTCATTTTCAATCTGCACAGAATCTGAAGAATAAAACCTTTTTTGAGCTGGATTCACTGTTTGTTACTATATGGGACTATATATATATATATATATATATATCTCAAACACATGGGACCAACACTACATGTTGCATTTATATTTTTGTTCAGTGTACCTATGCCATGAGCCCAAAGCCCAACATCTTTGCATTCATTCTCTCATTTCCCCATAGAAATGATAAATTCTGACAATTTGTAGGCCTACTACAGTGACTTTGAGGGTCATAATTGGAAAAGGTTGACATGAGGTTTATAAGGGCTATTACCATATCTTGTAATAGTGCCATGTCTATTCAGGTCCCATAAAACAACAACTCTAGGCCTGAAACGGTGAACTGGGTAACCACATTCACTAGTCGATTTAGCCTGTGCATTTTAAGTATATTAAATGGCCTAGAGGTCATTCAAACCCGTGCGTCAATCTACTAGCAAGTGGTTATGACACACAGGTCGTCCCAGGGTTACTGGTTGATGAGGACAATATTTGCTATCTCTGAATATATTTCTTAACAGACACACTACTTCTTGTTATTTGAATTAATACTTGAGTAGACTATTCATCCCGTTCTATTCCATATTCTGAGCCATATGCCTATCCAAGCCTTGATGCATTAGGCGCTTAGGGACTGTATGTTATTTTAGGGATACCTGGAGAAAATTGGACAGCTCTGAAATAAATGGATAGCCCTCACTTAAGCAAAATATATTTTTACTCGACCCTCCCTGAACGCTTGAAAAAAAAAAAAGTGACCCTCCCCTATACCCAAAATAATAATTAGTACAAAGTGGATAGCAGAGAACATGTCTACCATTTACCTTCACTCCTAGGACATTCTAGAGCCTTTAGATATGCAGTTTTAGAAACTGTTCTTTGTTTTGTAAGCATTAGCCCACATGGCAAAGTAGCCTGAAGGTTGTCGATTCACATTCCACTGCTGACAAGGGTAGGGGTGAAAAGATGTCCTTTATAATTAAAGCACCGCATGAATCTATCTAATTTGCGGTCCAAGAAAAAATAGCAATTTCATGCAATTCCACATTTTGCATAACTGGAGACAAGCAGAATTTTTTAATACCACAACAGAGCATGACAACGAATACAGTGCATTTGGAAAGTATTCAGACCCCTTGAACTTTTCCACATTTTGTTACGTTACAGCCTTATTCTAAAATGGATTCAATTGTTTTTCTTCAATCTAGACACTACCCCATAATGTCAAAGCAAAAACAGGTTTTTAGAAGTCCTTTAGGTGCCTTTTGGCAAACTACAAGTGGGCTGTCATGTGCCTTTTACTGAGGAGGGACTTCCATCTGGCCACTCTACCATAAAGGCCTGATTGGTGGAGTGCTGCAGAGATGGTTGTCATTCTGGAAGGCTCTCCCATCTCCACAGAGGAACTCTGTCGGATTCTTGGTCATCTCCCTGACCAAGGTCCTTCTCCCCCGATTGCTCAGTTTGGCCGGGCGGCCAGCTCTAGGAAGAGTCTAATGGTCATCCATTATAGAATGATGGAGGCCACTATGTTCTTGGTGACCTTCAATGCTGCAGAAATGTTTTGGTACCCTTCCCCAGATCTGTGCCTCGACACAATCCTGTCTCGGAGCTCTACGGACAATTCTTTTGACCTCATGGCTTTTTTGCTCTGACATGCACTGTCAACATTTTACATTTTAGTCTTATCCAGTTAGTGAGTGCATAATGGCCCTCTGTGGGAATCGAACCCACAACCCTGGCGTTGCAAGCGCCATGCTCTACCAACTGAGCTACAAAGGGCCCGTAGTCAACTGTGGGACCTTATATAGACAGGTGTGTGCCTTTCCAAATCATGTCCAATCAATTGAATTTACCACAGGTGGACTCCAACCAAGTTGTAGAAACATCTCAAGCATGATTAACAAACTAGGCATGCATAGCTCACTGCATGATCCTCAAACCAAAGACTGGCCAAACTCGTGTTTTGTGAATTCAAAGGCACAATGACTGTATAGCCTAAAGAATTTCATTATAATTTAATTCTAAGTAATTATTTTTTTAGATTTTGTTTTATACAGCCTAGATGCAAAATGTATAGGCATGTTGTTGAAGTGCTTTTGTTGAAGTGTTGTTAAAATGCTGAGCGCGCCTGCCAGCCAGTAGCTTGTCACAAATGCGTCACCATTTTTTCTTAAATGGCAGGCTATAGCCTTGAAATAATAATAATATAGCTTAAATAATTCATTTTGGTTCCTTCATAGGCTACCTGGCTTGCTCCTGACTGATTTAGAGTAAGTATGTAACAACCTGTTGAAATGTTGAATGTCAATTGATAGTGACAGAATCACACATTACTTCCCAAGCAAATTATTATTTTTTGCCTCCTTGGCAAAGGTTGTAGCGCAGCCTCTGAATGTCATAGAGACAAACCAAATATATCACATATTCCCCGGCATTTTACAACTTGTTTCTAACATAAAGCATACTGGACTAAAGGCGTCCTTATAGATAGCTTCATATAATCAGATCCATTACATTTTTTAAGACTATCATTTTGTCTGTCAAACAGGTAGGCCTTTTCTTGAATAGGAAGAAATAGGCTCCAACACAAAGCCCTCTTGTTGTTAGTAGCTTAAAGTCAAATTAAAATGAAGACTTTAAATGAATTAGGACTTCTCGAATTAGCTTACTTTTGACAGCGGAAGCGCAGCCTATCCAGCCGTGAGGCACACTGCCCATATGCGCATGGAACAAGAGTAATGCGCTTTTGGTGCCTGTATACTTGGTATTTAGAAACATAAAAAACTTAGTTTTTTTCCCATTTCGTTTTATTTGATTAAAAACCAAGCATTCCCTCCTCTAAATGAAGGCTGTTTTCTTTTTGTCCTGCCCAATGCAATCAAGTAGGCTAGTCAAGACAGTCGATAATCGGTTTGGCTTGTGAGACCGCTTGGGAAAAAATCTTTATCACCAAAGCTTTATTAAAAGATCACGTTTGAGAGGAGCAAAACAGTGAGCTGATATTCCCTTTTTATCTATGTATTGTAGGCAGGCCTACATTATTTTAGCCATGCTTTGGAGGTGCGTAAAACCCACTCGGTGATGTAGGCTACATGTGTCCATGCCCATCATGAAAGGAGAGATGAGAACCTCGGTGAATACCAGCCTCAAAAGAATCCTTCTGTAGGCTACCCTTACCCTAGGCCTGCTATAATGAAGGCTGGTTCAACATCAATGCCTTGTGTTGGTGCTGTCATCTTCAGGACAGGAATACCGGCTTACTTAACGGAGGAATAAACACACATGTTCATCGTTGGTGTTTCAACCAGAACGCGGGAAAAATGCCCTTTTTTTTTATTTTCGCACATGCGCAGTTGTACATCTCTCATAGGGCATAACTGTACCAGTGTAAGAACACAATTTATAACATATTAGTCTATATGTTAACACCCCCACTTGCTCTTATACTGTACAAGTCGTATTCAACCTAACTATCAACACATTTAGCTTACAGTTATACATCTCACAAATGTCAGTTTACATTCCAAACATATAACCCAATAATTTTTCATTTTTGAACTTCGTTACAGGTTTAGTCAAAACATCTGCAACCATGTCTGCCGTTGGACAATATTCAATACTTATTTTGCCATCACTGAGCGCAGATCGAATGAAATGATATCTGATGTCAACATGTTTACATCTCTGACGACATACTGGGTTCTTTGACAGAGCAATTGCACCTTGGTTATCTTCAAAGATTGTTACTGGTGCATATTGGCACTCACTGTCCATCTGGCCCAATAACTGTACAAGGTACAAACTTTCTTGTGTAGTAGCAGCCAGTGCCATGTACTCTGCTTCACATGTAGATAAAGCTACTGTTGGCTGCTTCTTAGACCTCCATGAAATAACAGGTCCACATTTAGTTAAACTAAAACAATACCCTGTTATGCTTCGTCTGTCACTTTGATCTGCTGCCCAATCAGCATCACTATATGCTACGAGGTTGAGTTTTTCCACCCCCTTTTTGTAACACAACTCCTGATTCATTGTCCCCTTCAAGTACCTCAACACATGTTTAGCTGTTATCCAGTGTTGCTCTTTTGGTTCTGATAGGTATTGTGACAGCTTGCTGACAATCCAACTGATATCCGGTCTTGTACATGTCATAACATATATCAAGCTGCCTATCACTTCACGATACCTTTTTGCTTTTAGGAAATACACAAAAACTGCCCCTGAATAATCATCCGTAAATGCTAGAGTATATCTGAACCCATCTTTCGCCTCTGGCTCAATAGGGCCAGCCAAATCAGTGTGCACAAGCTCAAGAGCTGCTTTTGCCTTTTCATCAGGCTCTCTGTTTCTGCTCTGAACAAATTTTCCCTGTGTGCAGATTTCACAGTTGAGGGTAGATTTGTCAATCTTACCTGTGATTTTCATTCCCTCTGTCACATTTTCTAACTTTGACACATCCTCAAAATTACAGTGGCCAAGAATTTTGTGCCATGTGTGAATATCATAGCACCCATGACATCCATCATCATTTTCATCACTTACAGTGTTAAGATAGTAAAGTCTATCGTACTCCTCGATGTCAAAAGTGGTACCGTTCTTGTGGATGAGCTTGTTACACCCCTGTCGAAAGTTGACTGAAGCTCCGTTGGCTGTCGCTGCTTTAACAGAGAAAATGTCCTGTGGAAACGACGGCACGTACGTTTCCACAGGAAGTGACTGTCAGGTTCGTGGACTGAAACATAAAGGGCTGATGGTTGATACGGGAGCAACGTCACATATAGTCACGGACATCGGGAAGTTTAAGGAGTTTGACGAGACTTTCAAACCGGAAAAACATTCCGTGGAGCTGGCTGACGGAACAAGAACGAAAGCGTTGTTTTCACCCGACGACCCGTGTTGTCTCTCAGGTAAACCTCCGCTGCACCTCTCCTCTCCGCGACACCTTTCGTTCTTGTTCCGTCAGCCAGCTCCACGGAATGTTTTTCCGGTTTGAAAGTCTCGTCAAACTCCTTAAAC